ATGTTTTGATATAGACACACAATGTGTATTAATCAAATCAGGGTAATTGGTGTATCCATCACCTCAAGCATTTGTCATTTCTTTATGCTAGGAACGTTCCAATTCCACTCTTTTAGTTATCTTAAAGTGTACCATATCTTACTGTTGACTATACAGCAGTCACTTCATTGTGCTATCAAATATTCTTCATTCTGTCTAACTATCTAACTATATTTTTGCACTCATTAACCATCCCCACTTTATCACCACCTCCCTGCTACCCTTCCCAGCCTCTGGTAACCATCATTCTATTCTCTGTCTCCATGAGATCAATTGTTTTAATATTTAGCTCACATACGAATAAGAACAAAATAGAGATTTGTCTTTCTGTGCTTGGCTTATTTCATGTAACATAATGTCCTCTAAATCCACTCATGTTGTTGCAAATAACAGAATTTCATTCTTTCTCATGGCTATATAATATTCCATTGTGTATATGTACCACAATTTCTTTATCCATTCATCCATTGATGGACACGTAGGTTAATTCTAAATCTTGGCTATTACGAATAGTTCTGCAATAAACATGAGAGTGCAGTTACCTTGTTGATATATTTATTTCCTTCCTTTTGGATATATACCCAGCAGTGGGATTGCTGGGTCATATGGTAGTTCTATTTTTAGTTTTTTGAGGAACCTCCATACTATTCTCCATAGTGGTTGTACTAATTTATATTCTCACCAACAGTTTACAAGGGCTCCTCTTTCTCCATATCCTTGCCAGCATTTGTCATTGCTAGTCATTTTGATAAAAGCCATTTTAACTGGAGTGAGATGATGTCTCACTGAAGTTTTGCTTTGCATTTTTCTGATGACTAATGATATTGAACATGTTTTCATATTACAGTTGGCCAGGTGTATGCCTTATTTAGAGACGTCTATTCAGATCTTTAGCCCATTTTTAAATGAGATTATTTCATTTTTTCCCTATTGAGTTGTTAAAGCTCCTTACATATTCTGTTATAGTTACTAACCCCTCATCAGATGGGTAGTTTATAAATATTTTCTCCCATTCTATGGGTTGTCTCTTCACTCTGTTGATTGTTTCCTTTCCTTCACAGAAGCTCTTTAGCTTGATGTGACCCCATTTGTCTAATTTTGCTTTGCTTGCCCATGCTTTGGGAGTATTACTCAAGAAATCATCGCCCTGACCAATGTACTGAAGGATTTCCCCAATTTTTAAAAATAGTTTCATAGTTTGTGATCTTAGATCTAAGTCTTTAATCTATTTTGATGTGATTTTTTGTAAATATGGTGAGAGATGAGTGTCTAGTTTCATTCTTCTGTATATGTATATCTGTATATCCAATTTTCCCAGCACTGTTTATTGAAGAGTCTGTCCTTTCCCCAATGTGTGTTGTTGGCATCTTTGTGGAAGATACGTTCACTATAGACAAGTGGCTTTATTTCTGGGTCCTCTATTCTGTTCCATAGATCTATGTATCTGTTTTTAGGCCAGTACCATGCTGTTTTGATGACTACAGCTCTATAGTATAATTTGAAGCCAGGTAATGTGATTCCTCCAGTTTTGTTCCTTTTGATCAGGATGGCTTTCACTATTCTGGATCGTTTGTCATTCCATATAAATTTTAAGATTATTTTTTCTGTTTCTGTGAAGAATGTTATTGGTATTTTGATGCAGATTGCATTGAATTTGTAAATTACTTTGAGTAGTGTGGACATTTTAACAAAATTGATTTTTCCAATCCATGAGCATGGAATAGCTTTCCATTTTTTGGTACTCTTCAATTTCTTTCATGAATGATTTATAGTTTCCATTGTATTAATAGAGAGCTTTCATTACTTTGGTTAAGTTTATTTCTAGGTATTTTATTTTATTTGAAGATATTGTAAATGAAGTTACTTTCTTGATTTCTTTTTCAGACTGTTTGGTATTGGAATATAGAATTGCTACTTATTTTTATATGTGATTTTATATCCTGCAACTTCACTCAATTTGTTTATCAGTTATAAATCAGTATTTTTGTGGAGGTTTTTGTTTATCTGGATATAAGATCATATTATCTGCAAACAAGGATAATTTGACTTCTTCCTTTTTAATTTGGATGCCCTTTATTCTTTCTGTTGTCTGATTGCTCTAGCTAGCAATTTCAGTACTGTGTTGAACAGCAGTATTGAAAGTGAGCATCCTTGCCTTGTTCCAGATCTTAGAGGAAAAGCTTTTAGTTTTTCCCCATTGAGTGTGGTCCTAGCTGTGGGTCTGTCAAATATGGCTTTTATTGTGTTGAGGTAAGTTCCTTCTATACCTAGTTTTTTTAGAGTTTGTATCATGAAGGGATATTGAATTTCATCAAATGCTTTTTCGGCATCAATTGAAAAGATCATAAGGGTTTTGTTCTTCATTCTGTCAATATGATGCATCACATTGATTGATTTGCATATGTTGAAACATCCTTGCATCCCTGGGGTGAATCCCACTTGATCATGATGACATCTTTTTAATGTGTTGTTGAATTCAGTTTGCTAGTATTTTGTTGAGGATTTTTGCATCTATGTTCATCAGAGATGTTGGCCTATAGTTTTCTCTTTTCATTGTGCCTTTGTTTGGTTTTGGTATCAGGGTGATATAGGTCTTGTAGAATGAGTTTTAGAGTATTCCCTCTTCCTTTATTTTTTGGAATAGTTTAAGTAGGATTCGTATTAGTTCTTTGAATGTGTATGTGGTAGAATTCGGCAGTGAAGTGATCAGATCCTGGGCTTTTCTTTGATGGGAGACTTTTTTTTTTTTTTTTGAGACAGAGTCTCACTGTGTTGCCCGGGCTAGAGTGCCGTGGCGTCATCCTAGCTCACAGCAACCTCAAACTCCTGGGCTCAAGCGATCCTACTGCCTCAGCCTCCCGAGTAGCTGGGACTACAGGCATGCGCCACCATGCCCGGCTAATTTTTTCTATATATTTTTAGCTGTCCGATTAATTTCTTTCGATTTTTTTTTTAGTAGAGACGGGGTCTCGCTCTTGCTCAGGCTGGTCTCGAACTCCTGAGCTCAAACAATCCACCCGCCTAGGTCTCCCAGAATGCTAGGACTACAGGAGGGAGCCACTGTGCCTGGCCCAAGCCCACAGGCTCTCTAAAGCTGTGCCCCCATGTTGGCAGCTAACCACGTCTCTGGGTTGCATGAGCCCACTGGGAGACAGGCATAAAGGACACACCAGGGCAAGATCCAGCAACATCAGCTGGGGTTCCCAGCCTGCAGGGCTCACTGACACGCCTGCGTCATCAGCAAACCCCTTTTACAGTTCTTCAGTCCTGCTCCCTCACACTCTATTCCAGAAGCATGTGTTTCCCACATTCATTACCTTTCCTGTGCTCAGAACATCCTGTGACAGACGGGGAGTTAGAGGCGGGGTGCGAATGTAGCTTGTGCGTGGACCGTGCAGGTGTGATGTGCTTCCCCTTCCTCAGTAACCTCCCCTGTAACTTATTTCTCATCAGATCAACTGAGTCACATTTCGTGAAAAGTCATTCTCGAACTCGCCCTCACTCTCTGAGCCCCCCTGTAGCTGGCTGTCTAGCAGTGTCCCTCTCAACAGCCTCTACCCCAGTTGATCCCTCTACCTTCACTGGGGAGGTTATGTGACATCTGCATCAGGACAGAGCAGCGAACAACACACCGAGGCTTTGACATCCCCGTGTCTCCTTCGCTGTTACGTGCCCAGCTGCTGGCACAGAGTACGTGTCCTTTAGTGTTTACCATCACAAAGGAATGCTTTGGTCTGCTCTGCAGAGCAAGCTCACCATCCTTGCTCACCTGACTAACTGGTCCAGATGGTCCTTGAGGAAGGGGACCCTGTACAGATGAAGCTTGTGGAGGTTGTCCAGCTTGAGGAACGTAGAGGTGAATCTGGCGACAGTCTGTCCCACCCTCTCTAGCCAAGTGTAGTTACGCTCCAAGATATAGGTGAGGTGGAGTTTACGAAGACTCTTCATCTGGGCCAGGTAAGGGACAAACCATCCTAGTTGGTACAGTCCCCAGAAGTTACGCATTTTCACGTCCTGGATACACTTCAGCTCCACCATTTCTAAAAACTTTTTGACACCGTAGATTTGCTTTCCACAGAGCACCACCCGCTTACAGCACAGGTGGACTAAATCCTTCCTCTGCAGGGCCCATTCAAAGACATGCGTGAGAAATTCATGTAGGTCACTATCGTGGAAGCAAAGGAGGTCTACGACCACCTTCAGTGGCCACTGCCTTCCCATGCCTGGACAGTCCTCCCCTGTTTGCCTCTGACTCGTGGCCCGTGGGGACCTCACAGGGGCTCCAGACCACATGCTCCAGAAGTTCTCATCAACTTCCCGTAAATCCAGCACTTGCAGCTTCCACCCACTGTGGGTAAAACACAGGAGAGTCTCAGATTTAGGCAAAGACCCCTGCGACCTGAGCTTTCCTTCCACACCCCAGACATCAGCCACTCTGTCCCTGCTTCTTTGCCCTCTCGATTGTTCCATGCCCTTTCTCCGACTGGATCTTTTCCAGTGTCTGCTTCTCTTGCCTTTTAGTGGCACCGAGAGGAAGCAGGTTCATTTCCCTTTGTGGTCCGTGCACGGTGAGCAGTCCCAGCCTTCCAGAGGCTCTTTCCCAGAGTGGGCTCAGCAATGGTCAGGTCTCTGAGCTTCCTCACTGGCATCATCAGATGCCTCTGGTCCACCCTTGGGCCCCCACTCTCCCTGACCCAGCTGTCTGTCCCCAAACCCGTGGGCCCTCCCTACCAGGCTCCCTGGGTCAGCCTCACCTGGGGCGAACCTTCTGGGCAAGCAGCACATCGAGCCCCTCCAGCACAGTTCTTAGGGTCTCCAGGTCAGGGGTCAGCATCAGGGCCCCCAGAGGCAGGCGGGTGAAGGGCCAGGCCTGCACCATGGCCATCAGGGTTTTGCTGCGACTCTTGGTGAAGGCCTCCATAAATAGTGGTGGGAAGAGCTCCGTTGGCAGCTCCTCCAGGGCGGGGATGGCCACGGCCTCGTCCCTCAGCAGGCTCTGCCCCGCCAGTTGCAGGAGTCTGGGTGGGTCCTGGACGCTCATCCTGATGAAAATCTGCAGGAAAAAAAGTCCTCAGGACAAATCCACAGAAAATGTATCCTTCTCAGGCCAATCACAATCACCCCATCTTCTCCTAGGGCAATGTCTCTACTGTGGCAGAGGTGGGCCAGTCCTCAGTTTACCCCAATTCCATTCTGCATTCAGTGGCCATAAAGCCATAGCTCTGTACCTACTGGCACCAGGAGGACTGTCTCCTAACTACCAAGGAAGGGACAGGTTGACCACTACCCCACTGATTTTCACCCAGTGCTCCACTAAATCCTGGTACCACTGGGAAGTGCTGCTGAGCAGGCTGAGAGCTAGCCGCCACCCTTTTTAGGAGAAATTCCTAATCCCAAAAACCATGGGAACAGCAATATCATGGGGCCCAACATGGCCCACATTCTCAGTTCACACAATCTGGCTGGGGAATACTAAAAGTACATCCTGGCTGGGCACCATGGCTCACGCCTGTAATCCCAACACTTTGGGAGGCTGAGGCAGGAGGATTGTTTGAGGCCAGGAGTTTGAGACCAGGCAAGAGGAAGACCCCTCTTACACCATTTCTACCCCCATAATATTCTGAAATAAAAATAAAACAAAATAAAAAAAGTTTGAAATGAGATAAAGCAAATCGTGAGTCAGAATTTTTGCAGTGAAGACAAGACTACATTTAAAGGAAAAATGACTGGATACTTCTCTGCATCATCTTGAGCTTCCCTATCTGAGACTGGCTGACTGTAGATCAGATGGGATTGTCCTTATGGAGGTCACTGACTTACCAGATCTGGACTCAGTTTGCAGGGTGCTGGGACCTCAGGCAGAAGCAAGCAGTAACTCCAGTCTGCAGGGCTTTGGGACTCTGTGGATCTTCAGGAGCTTACATTGGCCTTTCCAATCACTCCTCCCCTTTTCAACTGCCAGCTTCCAATCAGAATGTGGTATTTGATGAGATTCCTGAAGTTCCACCCAGCTAACCCTGATGGACTTTTTGGCTTTCTCCATATTGATTGACTGAATCGGATATCCAATCATGAAACTGGAAGAATTAGGGATAGGGTGAAAGTCAAGAATTCATTCCTTCATACACTCCACAAACATTGATGGAGTTTTACTAGTATGTGGCCATCATAGTTCTGATTGGGAGACAGTAGAGGGTTTAAAGTGTCGCTCACATTAGACAGAAAAAACAAAACCTGAAAGTATTGTTGCTGGGAGATTTTGGCCCTGTCAAAATTATGAAATTTTATCATAGTTAAAACAGCTTTCTAAAAACAGTGGTGTCATCCCTAGGAAATCAGAATAGAAATCTCCGAATGCAATGTTCAATTACTAACACAGCAGTTGGTGTCTCCCTTCATGTGGAAGAGAGGGACCACTGAGGATGTGATTGGTGTGACACTCAGGCCAGGGCTTCTCTGGAGGAAATCAGGTCACAATAACAAAGAGAAGTAAGGGCGGGGGCTGGGCAGGGTGGGGCTGGGTGTTCTCAGTGGGGCCCTGGGAAAGAACTAAAACACAGTGAATATGTAGGGATTTTTTGGCGGGTCAAGGGAGAGTATAATAAATAGTAGACTGAGGCCACCCTGGTGTTGATCCTGGTAGCCAAGGACGATTTTTTTCTCTGCAACTGATATAACCCTCCTCGTTTTTCCTTTCAAAACCCTTATCTTCCTTTACCTCCGTGAAAATGCCCACACCTATTCCCATTGCATTACTCATCTCATGATAAATATTATCTTTTAAGAGAGTCTCTTTCTCTGTTAAGTAGACAATATATTTTTTGACAAGATGACTAACCCATTTTTATTGAGAGAAAGGGTCAAAAGGACCCCATCACCCCAGATGAGTGTGATGTGAATGTCCTGGTTGTTCTTTCTGCCATCTGCATCTGCAGATTGGCAGTGAGACCCTACAGGTCACATCTGGCAGGCTTCCTAGTTAACCGCCCGGGGAAGGTCTTGTGATTCGTGGCCTACATCCTGTCCCTGAGTGAAGAATCTTTTTGTGAGTCCCTCAAATCCTATCCTAAGTTCTTCAGACTGTTCAAGTACTGAGGTACCACAGGTATGATTGTGCTCATTTTATCAATGAATAAAGCCCAAGTTCAGACAGGGCTTTATTCATCAGTAAAGTCACCCAGTTCAGCTGGGTGACTTCTCTAGATCACACAGTGAGTAGCAGAGGCTTGACTAATAAATCTCCAACAATCTCAATGCTTCTATTTTAAACAATATTAATAAATGATTTCTTAAAATAAACAGTATGCCCTAGTCCTAAATCCAAGCAGTTATGTGGCTAATACTCACTTTGTCCACTAAGCGCTGGCAAATTTGGGATGTAAAGAGAAGCCGTTTTAGTTACCCTATCACCTCTTAGCTAACTTTTCCTTTCCACTCTTAGCACCAGTATCTTTATATTTTTTTTCCATCCCTCTTGTATGCTTTCAAGAACTATATTACATATGACTCCGAGCAAGGTATAATGAATAATGAAAGTTTAAAATGTCATCCCTCCCAGGGATGCCAGAGAGGCCTGAGATTCAGACAAGACATTTTGCAGAGACAGGCAGTATTAGCTCTGAGGCTTCTATACCAAAGTCTCACAAAGTAGGTGGCTTAAAACAACAGAAATGTATTCCCTCACTGTTCTGAAGGCCAGAAATCCAACATCAAGGTATGAGCAGGCCCATGTTCCCTCTGAAGGCTCTAGGAAGAACCTGCGCCATGACTTTCTTCTAGTATCTGGCAGCTGCTGGCCAGCCTTGGCATTCCTTGGCTTGTGGCTGCATCACTCCAGTCTCTGCCTCTGTAGTGACATGGCTGTGAGTCTGTGTTCCCTCTGCATTCTCTCCTCTTCTTCTAAGGACACCCGTTATTGGATTTAGGGCCCACTCTAATTCAGGATATTCACCTAAACTTAGCTACAGCAATGACATCTGCAAAGACCCTGTTTCTAAATAAGGTCACATTCTGAGGTTCCAGGTGGACGTGAACCTCCAGGGGACACTGTTTGCTCCAGAACAGCCTCAGTAGAGCATGGTCTCCCTGCCAAGACA